CACTGGTACTGAGGGCTACCACTCATAAGAGTTGTGGCGTTCAGTATCAATACACTGCCGTTAGTCTGACACTGTATTCAACATATTTTTATTTGTTTCACCAATTCTTTAAAAACAGATACAATAAAACTAAAGCCATTAAACAGAAATAGAAATTAAACATCGAATTCATTCATATTTATATAATTATTTACATAAACTTGTATGAAACAAAATTGTAATTTTAATAAAACAAATCTGAAAATAAGTAAATCTAATAATTATAATAAAATAATTTTAAAAAACACGTGAATAAAAATAACATATCCTGAAAATGCCTGAACTCTGTACAGTACAATCCCCAGTCAAAATATTAATGTAATTTTTTGGCATTGTCTCTATATTTGTTTGCTTATTCCAACTGACCATGCTCTTTCTCTTTTGTATTGTACATAACCTTTGGGTGCAAGTTTACTATTGTGTACCAAATTTACTTTTATGTGTATATCTAATAATAGACCAGGTATATTCATGTTATACCTCCAATCGTATTCCAATCCATTAGAATCACTGGAAAAACTTATGACAATAATAATTATGATTAATTATAGAATTAAGTTTAAATAAAACTTTTGTTTGGCAAATAACCTTACGTGTGATGAAAGTTATGATATCCCTCACACAAAACTACAATCTATAGTCTGCTTAATAATTTATGGACAATAGCAAATTAAGATTTTATGTTTTCACTTTTAAAATATAAAATAATTTTTGTATGTTTTAACCTCATATGTGCCACAGAATTGACTAATATTGCTGAATGTAATGCATAGATATATCGAAAGGTATTAGCAATGAATGCATTCATGAAACTCTCGTCCCATAATAACATGGGTACGACCACTGGGATTGGACCAAACAGTATTGTCTATACTGTGGAACTACTTTAATATTTTAAAAAATCATGTTCCTGAGCAAATTACTCATGTATTTGGTATAAATAATAATATATTTTTATTTATTTTATATATTAATTAATGTATAAAATAATACAAATTACATAGATTTATAAATACAAAATACATTTAAAATTATGTTTAAGCTTGTTAATAGACTACGATAATTCTATTCAATAGAGTTAATATAAACTTATTTGTTAAATTTGTTAAACTTATATAAAACTAATATACAGTGATATACAGTATAAGCAAACAGATAAACAGGTCAATCGTATTACAAAGGTTAATTATTGCGAAATTTAATAAACACGCGAATACAAATAACAAACCCAGAAAAAACTTGAGTTATATACAGTGCCAATGACATAATCAAAATAATTTGTTTGCTTATTCTCTACCTGTAACTCCTTATCCAAACTAACCATGCTCTTTTTCTTATGTACGTAACTTTTCGGGGCTAGTTTTAGATCGTATACTAAATTCATTTTCGCGAGTATAGCCAATATAAGACTCGTTATATTGAAATTATATCTCCAGTCGTGTTCCGCTGTGTTTGAATCGTATGGAAATCTATACCATAAAAATGGTTCACATAAAACTATATCTGGTTCAATATATCGGATGAGTCCTGACTAATATAGGCTTATCTTTCGCTTCTTGCAAGCATTTTTGTTTACAACTAAATATTAATATCTTTTTAACTTAAACTCATAGACTTTATACACTAAAGATTTTGATATTTAGTCGTAAGCAAAAAATGCTTGCAAGAAGCGAAAGATAAGCCTATATTAGTCAGGACTNTTTATACACTAAAGATTTTGATATTTAGTCGTAAGCAAAAAATGCTTGCAAGAAGCGAAAGATAAGCCTATATTAGTCAGGACTCATCCGATATATTGAACCAGATATATAAAAATGGAAAAGGCTTACGTGTGATGAAAGTTATGGTACCCCTCTCCTAACGTTAAATATATGGCTAAATTACTCTCCCGGGGCTCTATTATTTCATCGTATGGTCTACAGTCAGGTTATATTTATTATAGTTAAAACTCAATTGAATATTAATTGTTTTCAGACCTTAATCCATGCATATGTGCCACAGAATTGACCAGAAATGTGGCGTGAAGTGCAAAAAGATATCGAAATGTATTGGCAATGAATGCATTGATGAAACTCTCGTCCCATAAAACCATTGGCACGACCACTGGGATTATGATTGCCATGAGTACTGACTGTAATCACCAATAACATTATAGTTATGACATCTAATTACAATTTCCAGTGATTATTACACGAGTCGTTATGTTAACATTAATGATTTATAATTGTTGTACAGTATATTAAATTCTACAAATGATATCATACCAAAACGATCATGTGTTTCCTTTGAAACATAACCACCGGGTCACTGGTAAGGTCAGTCAGGTCAATCTGTTTGCTTTTCTCAATGAGCTCCGGGTGTTTGTGATAGACAAGCCAACTTATGTGTGAGAATAGGAATCCCCGTTTGGAGTTGTGTGGGTCGGCGTCTGTTTCCGAGTACTTGTGATGCATTCGGTGGTCACGACTCCAGAAGAATACACTCCTTTGCAACGCCATGGTTTGCATTAACATTAACCCTATCTTTACAGAGGAATGGGCTTTGAACGAACGGTGAGTCCATAGCCGGTGGGCGCCCAATGTTATTCCTAAACCGGATAAGACGTACAACACATACGTCCAGATGTAGGTCTTGTGGTGGAAACTTGTGAATTGACAAAACCAGCCATAGATGCCTATAATATGTACCAATAGTAACACTATTAGTGACGGCCAAACAATCCTTTGCTTGTAAATGGGTTTGTCTTCAGATATTGTGTTCATTTTATTTTCAAAAATACAAAACTGGTTATCAAATTAAATGTTTAGTTAATGTTATATAAATTACGAATAATTGTCTGAAAGTCCTATTAAATAGTATCATAAACGTATTGTGATATTCGGATAGTATTACTATTATATTAGTGATTTATTTGAAGAGCTTTTAGTTATTTGCTTATATAGTTGATATTAATGTAATTATTCAAAAGTAGATGTTGAAGTATGGAAAAATTATTAAATGAATAACTTATAATAATCAATGATTAATCAAATACTGTAATCAATAACTTTAGTGCATTAAGTGTGCGTGAAATTGATGTAAGGCTATTTTTAAATAAGTTATAACATGATATTTTCATAATAATTAATGATTGAGGACCTAAAATTTTAAATGATGTTTACCATTAGATGTTTAGATTATATAATTATAAGTTATTATTGAAGGCATTTCCTTTTATTTTGCATAGACCTCAAAACACATCAATTAATAAGATATATTTATATTTAATGTTAAATTTAAATACAATTACAATAGTTTTATAATTTTCTAAAAACACGTGTATAAAAATAACTCATCCTGTTTGAATTAAATACATTACTAAACGTAACTTTATTAAAGCAATATAGGTATAATACCCTGCTTTATTTAAACTGACCTTTCACATTCATATACTATACATCCAACAAATCTCAAAGACTTTAATTGAATTTATAATGATTTATGTTTTTGTGTTATAAAGTAAATATCTATTTTGATAACATTTATATTACAATTAAAACCATAACCAGTACTCACTAGCTTTAAAATCCTAATAAGAAATACGATCTAGACTAGTTAGCACTTGAGAGTGTGTAAGGATGAAAAGATTTCAATTTTTATAAACTGTAAATATAAAATAAGCTTGAATATACACGCATTATTACTCATTAACAGAAAACTATAATAAAGTATTTGAGACAAAAATAATAGTATTAAATGGTAGGCAGTTTTTGATTTGATATTTTATTACTGTATAAAGAATAATGATTTTTATGAAAACTGTCAATTTTCAATACCCATATTTTTACCTTTATCTTTAAACAGCAAATAATATTATTGTACAAAATGTTTATTCTCTGTTAAATTCTGCCTTGGACCCTCCCCTCTGGTCATCACTATCTTATACTTTATTTATACATAAATTTAATTATTATGTACGTCTATAACGGTCGCTCACAACGTTTATAAACAATTAACTATATTTGCATACTATTCAAATGATTGATAGACTCATGGACCACAAACTGAAAATATTAACGGTTAAAATAATCCATCAACTAAACAAACTATTCAATTAAATAAACTAAAATTATAAATTCAAAATAACGTTCAAAAACATTATTTAAGCTATATTTTTGTGACAAGCGCAACATTTGAATGAAATATATTTTAGATCTATTAGTTAATAGTTTAAAAAACTTCAAATCTTGATCATTACAATTATAAAGACATGAATTTACTTGTGGAATATGAACGCAATTTTGATTTTATAAAAGCTAGTAAGTGGATGGCGGATAACTGGCACATCTCAATCTACCTGTCCATCGCATACGTATGTATATTATTATTACTTAAGTCTCAAATGCAAAACAGAAAAGCGTTTCAAATAAACAAACTATTATTTGTATGGAATTTATTATTGTCTATATTCTCAACCATTGGGTCAATCAGGTAATCACTATTAGAAAAATTAAAAGTCGTAAAACATATTGCAAATTATATGCCAGTATGTATAGTATTCATATTTAATATTAAATTTTATTGAATCTAAGAGCCATTCAAGAAGTTAGTTATGTGATGAAAAATCACGGTATTATAGCTTCGGTGTGTTATCAAAACAATTATACAGTCGGCGCTGGACTTTGGGCCATGAGTCTATCAATCATTTGAATAGTATGCAAATATAGTTAATTGTTTATAAACGTTGTGAGCGACCGTTATAGACGTACATAATAATTAAATTTATGTATAAATAAAGTATAAGATAGTATTTAGTGTATAAAGTCTATGAGTTTAAGTTAAAAAGATATTAATATTTAGTTGTAAACAAAAATGCTTGTAAGAAGCGAAAGATAAGCCTATATTAGTCAGGACTCATCCGATATATTGAACCAGATTTGTTTTGTGTAATTCTCTTACTTACAAGTTACCTATAATTATGTCTACAATGCAGATATAATTATAATCGATAAAATTAATTATTTATTTCTGTTTTAGTAAAATTACATTTACTGTTATAATAATGCTTAAAATGTAACATCTTTGTTACCATGTACCAATTTTTCGATACAATTTCATACTTGTAATAATATCAATAATTAACAAAACTATTAATAAATAATATTATATTATACTATTTCAATTAATCTTTCAATTAAAATAATTATAGATAGGTGAAATACCATCAATATTATACTACATTTATTTATCAATTAGATCATCATTTGTTTTACTAAGTACTGTACTTACATGGAAATTACCTAAATTTATAATTATATCTACAATGCAAAAATAAATATACTTAGTAATATAATCGATAAAATTAATTATCTACTTCTGTTTTATTACATTTACAGTTGCACTAAATTTGTTATAACATTATAGTAACAAGTACTGTATTTTTAAGAAAAAAATTATGAATATTCAAGAACCATTGTATAAATTTTGGTTATTTTACAGATTTGATGTGGATAATAATTTTGTGTATTATACAAATAAAAAGAAACAAGTTCAACAAAAATGCAAAGTATATATAGTGGTTCTCTTATTAATAGTACATATTTCTCGGCATTTATTTTACTTATACAAAAGTGAGCCAGATAAACTATTACCAGTTTATTACTTTGAAGTAATGCAATATTGGGGACATTTAAAGGAATTCCTATATATAGCGGGAAGTATTTGTTTAACTTTGAATGTATTTCTTATTATAGCCATCAACACGCAAAATAAAAGTAATTATAAATGGTTTGATATCATATCTGCCATCAATGGCTATAAAACTATGAAATCAATTGGTTTACGAGATAAACAATTATCTATTAAATTTATTAAGATAATTAAAATGTTGATACATGTTTCAAAAATTGGTTCATTTATGTTGGATATAAGTTTAAATTTACTAATTGGTATAATCATATTTCTAAATTTTAAACTTAATAATATACATTATGGTATTGATCGTACCTAAAATATGCACTTTTACATAAATTAACATAGCTCTAGTGAATATACCTATAATAAAATGATAGATTACCAAACGAAAATGTATTTTATAGCTTAATTTATAAAATTGTTGTTAAACGAAACCATTCAAACAAAACACCTTTTATTAAAGCATCAAATATTACATAAAATGCCTGTAAATCACAACACACTTTGTATTGATATTGTAATCCATAATAATTTCTGGAAAAATATTTATTTCATATTCTGCTATTCATTTATACCAATTAATAATTTGTTTTTAAATGTACTTGTATTTCACAGCAGTTTATTTACTACGAAAATATTTATTTCTGTTTTTCTGTTAGTATTTGTGTCCTTATTATTAGGACTTAATTTAATAACATCTGAAATTTACAAACAAATGGACAATTCATACAATAAATTATACCAACTTTTTATCCTGAGCAGCTCATCAAAAACAATAATATATAAATTAAAGGTTGTGAGTAAAAATGATACATGTATCTAATTGTTAAATTTTAAAACATTAATATAATTACAGTTAATCACATGTATAGAGAGGGTGAGCGATAAAAACCATTTGATAGGCTTTTCGTGTAGTAATCATTATGTTATCACCAAAAGTATTGCATTCAAAGTATGATATCATAAATGTTTATTCATTTCTTAACCTGATGTTTATTTTTCACGATTAAAACTTTTAAAAATTATTTTCCTTTTCAGATGTTTCTAATATTTATTCGTTTCTTTCTATTAACACATAAATTGAGCATTAAGTATCAAGCTTAAAAATTAGATTTTATGTTTTGTGGCTTAAGTCATATGAGCAACATTACTTTGTATATAATATTTTTCAATTCTTATTCAACAGGTACAAAAATTAAGTATGTGCTCTGCAGTATAATTGATACATTGTAATAAAAAATTATTTTATTGCAAAAACATCATTCTGTAAATAATGAACTTTGTATATAATATTTTTCAATTCTTATTCAACAGGTACAAAAATTAAGTATGTGCTCTGCAGTATAATTGATACATTGTAATAAAAAATTATTTTATTGCAAAAACATGTAAGACATTTATTACCTAAATCCTAACAACAGACCCAGTATAAAATAATAAATTAACAAAAGTCACAATAATCTATAGCCTAGTTTACAAAAATATTAATATACCGTTTGTAAGTTTGTTTATAGCTATTTCTAAATAGAAAAACATTAAATAAAATCGTTAAAAATCTTAATAAACTTTGTAACGATATTGAGGATTATAATCGATTTTGGAAAAATATTTTATTTCATTCACACATATTCATTGGTACCAAGTACAAATTTAATTTTGCATTTGCTTTTATATTTTATATCACAATTGTTTAATGAGCAGCAAAATTATTTTTACATTTTATAACTACTGTCAATCGACAACACAAATATCCAACAAAATTAAGGTGAATTGTTGCTTACAGTGTCTACTTTTGACAAAAATATTTGAAATTTACTTTTTATTTATAGTTAATCTCATGTCTGGAGTAAGTGATAGAAACCGATTGATTGGGTTCTCGTGTAGTAATCATTACATAATCACCAGAAGTATTGCTTACAAAGTATTCATTGATTGAAAACATTTAAATATTATATAATATGATATATACTTTCTCTTTATATTTCAGATGTTTTTATTATTCCTCCGATTCTTTCTAATAACAAATAAATTGAGCAAAAACTTCACTGTTTAATCACATCATCAATTCATAGACTTAGTCATGAATTATTAAATTCTGTATTCAGCAAAATGTTAAATAATATTTTTAAATAATGTCTT